CCTAAAAATAGCCAAAGAGAAATAACACATAAACTATAAAGGAATACCAATTCAAATGACAGCAGTTTCTCATCTGAAACCATGAGACCAGAAGGAAGTGGCACAACATTTTTCAAGTGCTGAAAGAAAAGAACTGTAAGCCATGAATCATCTTTCTGGTGAAAATATCCTCAGGATTGAAGGAGAAGGAAAACGACAAGAATTTGATGCTGGGAGACATATCCTTAAAGAATGGCTAATGGAAGCTCTCCAAATAGGAAGAAAGCTTGGACCTTCAGAAGTAAAGGAAGAACAATAGGATGGGTATATAAAAGTAAACAGAGCAGAGAATCTGTAACCTTATGAGTTGCTTTAATCATGTTTTATGGTTCAAGCAAAAGTTTAACACCATCTAATATGGTGTATAATAAATATAGAGGAAGTACTTCAGACAAGGGACCTACATGGAAAGGATAGTTTGAAGTGGTAAACCATCAGTATCAGGAGGCTATGATAAGTTACACATATGCATAAGAAAATACCTAGAGCAACCATGAAGCCCACTACATAAGGGAACACACTCAAAAACATTACAAATAAATCAGAATAGAACACTAAAAAAATGTTCAAATAATCCATGGGAAGGAAAGGAAAAATAAGGTACATGAGAAACAAGAGGAAATACACAGAAAACAAAAAATGGGAAGCTTAATTAAATATCAGTAATTGCATGTAAATGGTCTAAATATACCAATTACATGACAGAGACTGGAGAGTAGACAAAAACATGATCCAACTCTATGTGGTCTGTAAGAAGCTCCCTTCAAAAGTAACACACAGGTTGAAAGTAGAAGGATGGAAAAGATATATACACACTAATTTTTAAAAATCTGGAGTAAATATGTTAATATCACATAAAGTAGACATTAAAGCAAAGAGAACTACTAGAGACTTAACATGATAATAAAAAGATCAACCCAACAAGAGGATAACAATCCTAGCTATACTCGTGGTGAACACAGCACACACAAACTTGTCCAGTCATGGTGTTATACCCCTGAAACTAATGTAACATTGTGTGTTAGCTATACTTTAATTGAGAAAAAAAGAAGACAACAATCCTAAATGTGTATGCACCAAACAACAAAGCTTCAAAATACATGGACCAAACCTTATGGAGTCAAAAGAAATGATAGACAAATACAGCAATTCTACTTGGGGACTTTGGTACCCCAGTCTTAGCAGTTAATAGCACTATTGAACAGTCATCAGGGATTTGGAAGAACCGAACAACACCTTCAACTAACAATATCTAATTAACATTTATAGAACGCTCCACCCACCAACAGAATACATATTCTTTTCCAACAAACATTGACCATTCACATAAATAGACCATATCTTGAGTCATAAAACAACCCTTAACAAATTTAAAAGAATTGAAATCATACAGTATTGAGTCACAGATGTCTTGTGACTGTAGTGGAATCAAACTAGAAATCAATAAGAGACACCATGAAAATCTCAGAACACTTGGAAATTAAAGAACAGGCTTTAAATAACTCACCAATCAGGGGTGCCTGGGTGGCTCAGTCATTGGGCGTCTGCCTTCGGCTCAGGTCATGATCCCAGGGTCCTGGGATCGAGCCCCACATCGGGCTCCCTGCTCTGCAGGAGGCCTGCTTCTCCCTCTCCCACTCCCCCTGCTTGTGTTCCTGCTCATGCTCTCTCTCTCTCTCTGTGTTAAATAAATAAATTTAAAAAAAATCTTTAAATAATTCGCAGATCAGAAAGGAAATCACAGAGAAAATTCAAAATTTCATAGAATTAGGGACACCTGAGTGGCTCAGTTGGTTAAGCATGTGCCTATGGCTCAGGTCATGATCCCAGGGTCCTGGAATCGAGTTCTACATCAGGCTCCCTGCTCAGTGGGGAGTCTGCTTCTGCCTCTGCCCCTCCCCTCCAGTCGTGTTCTCTCTCTGGCTCTCTCTCTCTCTTAAATAAATAAGATCTTTAAAAAAAAAAGTTTCATAAAGTTTAATGAAAAGTAAGCAAAGCATGAAAATGTGTGGAATGCAGCTAATACAGTGCTGAGAAGGAATTTAATGCACTAAAAGCCTACATTAAAAAAGAGGAAATGATTTCAAATCAATAATCTATGTTCTTATGTCAAGAACCTCTGGTCTATCTTTTCATAGATGTTTATATAGGAGACAGCCTTGGAAAGTAGCAAAAGGTGGAGTGCTTATTGTCCAGTATAAAGATAGTATCTAACTCCAGAGCAAAGGACAAGCATGCTTACAATCCATTATAGAATATTCAGTTTTCCTAAGTTCAGGGTCCCTCTCCTTTAACAAAACCTACTGTGTGTGCAAGTGTCACTTAACCCTCTTCCCATTACCCTATGGGAATTGGAACTCAGGAAACTGGTGCAGAAACCACCCCCCAACCCCCCCGACATTCTGGCTACTGTTGTTGCTGTGAGTAGTAAAGTCCTTCGTTGGTGACCCAGAAGTCTTGGATCTTCTGCCAGCACCCATGTTAGTTTGCAAGTAAGGTCAGTAATCTGTAATCTGCAAGTAATCTCAGGCCCTTCACAGCTTTTGATGTATATTCATGTAAAAACCTGCAAGCAAACGTTTGTAATAGCTTTATTTGTAAATGCTCAAAATGGGAAATGACACAGATGTCCTTCAACAGGGAATGGATAAACAATTTTACATCCATACAATGATGGATGCTACTCATTCATAAAAAGGAACAAACTCTTGATTCATGAAATAGCTTGGGTAAATCTTAAATGCGCTTTGGTAGGTGAAAGAGGCTCAACCCAAAAGGCTATATACTGTGAGGAGGAGGGAGAGGTTGAAGTTCAGCTTCCCCACTTGGACTCTGAGGGGTGGAGCACCTCGAAACTGCTGGGTAGGAGTGGACACGGTCGGGCAGGGAGGACTTGTTACACTTGGTGGGGGTGAGAGTCTTGGCTCACCACTTGGCCTTCTCTACCACCACCCTGGTAGGAGCGTCAGGGCATTTTATTTTATTTATCCTACTTGACCTTCTTGGGTCCATGGGTTTATGTCTGTCATTGTTTTTGGAAAATTCTCAGCCCTTTTTGCAGTTATTTCTCCTATCCTGTTTTCTTTGTTGTATTTCCAGTTATGCACATGTCAGACCATTTGATATCATCCCACAGCCCTTTGATGTGTTTTGATTACTCTTTGTATTCATCTGCATTACTGTTTTTTTTTTTTTTTTAATTTCATTAGTGTGTTTTTGATGTTTAGTGTTTCCATTCAGTTATTTCTTAAGGTTTTCATCCCTCTGCTGAAATTACCCATCTGGTCTCTAGCGTTGTTCACCTTTGCCGTTAGAAATTTTAATGTATTAATCACAATTCTTTTAAATTTTCTTTCAAATAGTTTCAGCATCTGTGTCATACCTGAATTTGTTTCTGATGAGTACTTTTATATCTTGGTAGTATGTTGTTTCTTTCTTTTTAGCATGCTTACTTTTTTTGTTGTTGTTCTTAAAAACTAGACATCACATGTAGTATATAGACACTGAAATAAATATTATTTATGTCTGGAAATGAGCATACCTTTCTTTTTTGGGAGAGAGGCATAAATTTAATCTAATCCAGAGCTGGGCTAGATTTGAGGTTTGTTTGTTACTGTTACCTCCAGTGCACATTCCCCTCAAATTCTTGTGGTGGTACTTGGCTTAGGGTCGGGGATGATGTCCTAGAGACTTATTCTTCACTGTCTGCTCCGCCCTCAGACTTTAATTTTCCCTTCACATTGGGCCTCAGAGAGAGTCTGTCTCTTTACAAGTTCCTTGCTAGTCAGGGTTCGTAGGGTAGTGCTGGGGTGGGTGTTCTCATCTTAGGCAGGCTGGTGTCCCAGAGGCTCAGGGGTGTGTTCCTCTCAGTAGTTCTGAGCCCAGCACCTAGCCTTGCTCCTTTTCCAGGTGTGGAGGGTTTGGTTTTTCCCCCTTTCCTTCCTTCTGCTGTCCTGGATTTTCACCAGTGTCCTACGGGTGACTGTGTTCCTTGCCCCCCTCCCGCACCCCCCCACATTCACACATTAGGGCTTTTATTCTGAAGGTGAGATGGAACATAAGAGTTCCTGTGTCACTGTTCTTCCCCAGTTGTGCTCCATGAAGGAGACTTTCTTGGGCCAGTCTTTTCTGTGAGCACCCTGTGGGCTTTATGGTGAAAAAGCCTTCAAGAGAATGCAGATTTCCCATCTATTGGTGGCCTGCGGACCTTTACCTTCTCACCAATATATATCTGGCCAGCCTCTACCAATTTGCCAATCCCCCCAGGCAAACTCTTCTTACTAGTGTCTGCTGCATCTCATGCCAAGGAGCAGTGTTTGCATCTAACTGGTCTCTGCACGGGCCTGTCTGTCTTCACATTTGGGGCCAGCTAGTTCCCCTGTGACCTGAGCACTCTGATGAGCGTAACGAAAGGCATTTACTTGTTGTTTGTCTGGCTTCTTTTTGTTCTAAGTTTGGCAGTGACACTCTGGCCAGTGCTCTATATCCTTGGGCAGAAACTGCAGGGGTTTTAAAAACACAGTTTCTTTGCTCTACCCCAGATGGCCGATGTTACCATGCTCACATTTGACTAAATCCCGGTTTGCCCTGCCAGGCTTGTATTCAGACTGTATATGTAAGCTGTGTTGACAGCCGACTGAACAGTAACAGAGTTAGTGCCTCACACAGAAAGACACAAAGATGAACTTGCATTAAGAGCTATGTCATCAGGACAGGAAAGCCATAGTCCTGGCTTCTAGCAGTCCTGGAATTGTCTGGATAGAGGCTTTTCTGGCACACCCAGGGATTTGGCTCCTTGGAATTATTGGGTTTAAATTATTATCTTAATATAATTTTATCTTTTATTTCACAAGTATTTTTCTCTTTTTTTTTTTGGAAGCAGAAAATAAATAACAGTTGTTTGTGAGATTTTTCTTGAGATTCAAGTATGTGCTTGATATCCCTCTCTCTCTTCTTTGTAGATCGGAAGTTCCACAAACACCCTGCATGCCCTGCAAATTGCTTTTGCCGATGAAGAAACACAAGTAATCTACCTTTTGACGGATGGGAGACCTGATCAGGTACTTACCAAAGTTGGGAACAAAAAGGGAGTCACCAGTACCCTGGAAGCAAATGCCGAGAATGGGGTTGAGGGACATTTTCAACTGCTTGAAACAGCTTGTAAAGCTGTTGAGAGATGTTTCCTTGGCTTAGGGACCCAGAACTGAGGTGACAAAATACACTGAGGAATTCCTTTGCTGAAATGCGGAGGAGAATTTATGTGACAGCAAGTGTTGTCTGGTTCATGTGCCACACACCCACAGGCCTGGAGACCAACCCCATGAAAGGAGTTATCCACCTTTTCATTGAGGACTGGTTTATATTTTGTTACAAACTAAGAGTAAGGAGATTCTTTTTGATTTTTTTTTCCTTTGGGGACTCCAAATCTAAACATGTCACTGCACGACGTCCTTGGTTTTACCCCTAATTTTAACTTAGTAATCATTTAAACAAAAGCATGCCTTTCTAGTGAAATGTTCTTTGTTTTGCTTAGCCTGACTGGAAAGTATTTGAAAAGTTTTAGTGGCGTCTGTTCATCTTCTTTTGAGCTTTGTGAATGAAAGACTAATGCTCTGGGCATTAAATAAACATATGGATTTGCAGGCCAGTACAATGTAAATTAACCGCTGAAGTGAATTAGTATCAACTTGCATCCTTCATTGTGAGGTTTTTGCATGTGAAGAGTGCTAGGCAAATACTGTAAAATATCCTGCCTCAAATGGTCCAGGGCTTAAATAGTAAAGCAACTGGATTTTATTACAGCATTAGATTTATGGCAGAGAAGTTATATGTAAAGTGAAATTTTGGATGATTTTCCTATCAACTTCACTCTGCTTTCTATTCAAAACCAATTTATTGTGCCTTGCTTATGTTCCATGTGGGTTGCCAAGGTTTGAGGCTACAAACATGAATAGTATTTTACCCCTGCCTTAGGGGTATTTACACTTTGGAGGATATGCTAGACATGTATGGTTAACTCTGATCTGACACAGGGTGTGGGGTTGTCTGTGCTATGAGATGTCTGGGAGCAGAGTGATGAATATTGCTGTACAAGATGGAGAGAAGGCTGGGGAAGGTTCCACTAAGGAGGGGATGTTTGAACTGTGTCTGGAAAGAGGAGAAAGAATTTTCTAAACAGAGGAGATTACTGGTATCCTGGAGAGAAGGAACAGAGGTGTGGAAATATGTGGGCTGCCCAGAGAAACAATCTGAGAGCAAGGGCAATGACGGAAGAGTGTTGGGTTGAAGCTGGAAAGTTTGGTTGGGGGAGATTGTCCTTGATGGCCACCTGGAATGAGTGGGTAGGCTTTACTACAGTTGGCGGGGGGCTCAGTGGGGCAGGTGGTCCCATTTACCTGTACTTTAGGCACATGTCAGGTAGGAAACAGAAATGTAGAAGAGAGGACTTTCCTCAGAGATGAGATAATAGAGTAGCATCAAAGGACTTGGTGACCAGTTTGGGAGCAGAGGAGGACAGAGTGAGGAGAAGATGGGGGCAAGAGAAAAAGGAATCACGATGTGACTGATTTCTGGGTTATAATTATGTTAGTAACTGACTTAAATTTAAATTTGAAGAAGGAACAAGCTCGGGAGTTGCTGGTGGAAGAAGTCGAGTTTGAGCACCTATAGTCCATGGATGTCCAGAGGCCCCTAGAAATATGGGGCTGGTGTTTGGGGAAGATGGGGGCTAGAGATTCTGATTTGAAAGTCATCTGGACAAGGGGTCTTTACCTTTTTAATAAACTCTTACTGATTTCACTGTTTGCACTGTAGGCCATTTAGAAAATACAGATAAGCATATAAGCATAAAAAAGAAGAAAGTTTAACTCAGTCTGTGTTATGCATTTTTTTTTGCAAGTCATGAGAAATTCTTTCAAAACATCATTCTCAATGACTGCATCATATTCCATTATATAGATTTAATATAACTTCTACCTTGGAAATTAATTTTGTTTATTTAATTTTTGAATAATAATACATTCACATGGAATAAATTACAAAGGTACAAAAGGGTATGCAGAGAAGATTCTCACTCCTACCTCCTACTCACTAGCTAAGAGGCAATATGTTACCAGTTTCTTATATCTTCTTTCAGAGACTGTTATGCAAGCAGAAATGTGTTTTTATATATTCTCTTTTATAAATATATAAATGATGCTGTATTACACACATGATTTTACACCTTTATTAATAAAACAATATGCCTTGAAAATTGCTTAATATATAAAGAACCTCCTCTTTTTTTTTTTTTTATAGCTGCCTAGTATTCCTAGAGATGGACATTGAGGTTGTTTTCAGTCTTTCTATTATACACTATGTTGCAAAAGTAGCTGTGCACAGACGTTTTGCATATATGTATATCTGTAGCATATAGTCTGAGAAGTAGACTTAGTCCAAAGGTATGCATATTGATAGATACTGCCAAATAGTCCCCCAGGAGGTATGGACCAATTAACACTCCTGTTAGCTGTGTATTGGGAAGGATTCTTGATCCACAGTGCACCATGTACTTCTGAGAGTCTGGAATCTCCCAAGAGTGTATACAAAATGTACTTGTACATTTCTCTGGGGAGAATAGCCCTCCCTAGCTTTCACCAGAGGGTCTCTGGTCTGCTTAGAGATTAAGAACTGTGGATACAGATGATAATCGGAATCAGAAATATACAGGCCACCTGAAAAGTAATTTATAAACTCCTAGTTCGGCACTTTGTGTTCATATCTGCCTTTTCTCACATGCAGTCCATTTCTTCTGCATTGTCCCTCAGATTCTCTCCAAAAAGCAAATGAATATTTGATATTCGTGTTCTGTGTAGAGGACATTAAGATGTATCACTCGATCTCCATTTCTTTTTGAATTTTCACTGACTTTGTAGGACCTGAATATGTTAAGGCTGGTGCTGTTATTCCCAATATTCAGCAAAATTTTCTGCTTGAAAGGACACACAGAGGTGATGTTCAGGATTTAATTCCATAGATACCAGCTTACTGCTTATTTGGAAATGTCCAGGGAAGAATTTCATAGCAAGATAAGTCTTAAATTAACCAAGTTAAAAGAATTCTAGTAATATTAGTCATCATTAAAATGGAATTGCTAGGTGTCCTTTGGTGGGCATCTCTAGGTGTGAATGGACACAGCCCCGCACAGTCTTTGGCTGCATTTTGAGGCTTCTTTGAAGTTAGGAACTTACCTAGCAGGAATCGAGAAAATGGGAGTGAGGAAGGCTTCTGCACCATTCTAAACAAAAATGAATGGGTAAAGCTTAATATGAGCTGGGCAAGGGGTGGGAGCACAGAGAAGGCACGGGTGAGCTGCCTGCACAGACGAACCTCCTTCAGGAGAAGTTAGGAAGGTAGGAGAACCTATCCCTGCCGTTCTTGCCACCCCAAGTTGACATTTGTGGTGAAAGGGTCATCTGGCTGCACATCTGTTTAGATTCAGAGAGGAGGGAACTGGGGAGAGTCTCTCAGCTATGCTGCTTGGCCTCATTTAGGGACTGAAGGGACTTCTGTGGGGAACATACGAAGGAGTCCTGGGCTGAGAAAGGCTTCTTCAGTGGTGTGTAGGAGTTACACAGGGAGAAGGCCCACTACTTTCTAGTAACAGAGCTACTAGAATGAGTGGCTGGAAGGAGTCAGGGTCAGCGAGGCTGGTGTGGTAAAAGGTGTACTTCCAGGTTCTGAGTCTCCTCTTCAAAGCTGTGAGGGCATAAACGAGGGAGAGGAATCTGAGTGGGGTACAGGCAGGAGGTCAGGAATGGCTATTTTCCACCGCAGACATGGAGCTCCTTCTGCAACACCCCCACTCTCTGTGCAGCTCTCTACCACCACACTGGGTACTAGAACATCATGCCAGTTTAGAAAAACAATACCTAAGGCTGGATGCATGTGGGGGGCTCAGTACGATACACTAACAGACTTTCTCATGCCTGTGCGCTCTTTAGCTGTTTGGAATGATGGAAATGGTTTTGGAGCTAGAGACCTGGGTTGGAAGCACACCCCCAGCACTGCCCATCTGAATGACCTAGGGCAAGTCTTGTACTGTGAATTTCCTCATCTCTGCCTTAAAGCCAATACTCCCTACTCGCAGGATTGCTTTGAGTAAATGAGATGATGTTCCCATGAATGCATTCCACAGATATTTGAGTACCTTTTATGTGCCAAGCACTGCTATCAGTCTGGGATACAGTGGTAAGCAAGATGAACAAGATGCCTGTCTCCGGTGGAGCTTATGTTTTATAGGGAGATAGGCAATGAGCAAATAAATATATGAAATAATGTCAGGTAGCATATGAACAGATGAAAATGCTACCCATGGTACCTGGCACCCACAGTCAGTATTAAATCAATGTTAATTTCTTTCCCTTTCCAAATATCTCAGCTGTAACTCAGTGTAAGAATAGTTCCTGGCTAAAAGGCTATAAAATTAACAGAATTTAGAGCTAGCATCTCCATTCTGGTATCGGGGCAGTGGCCAGGATTCGCTGGTAAGAAACACGGATAATAATAGTACCCACCTCAGAAGGTTGTTGAGAGGATACAGGTAGACAGCACGAACAGAACTCTTAGTGCTTGATACATAGTAGGTACTCAGAAATAGAAGCTACGCTGAATTAAGGGGAGGCAGCAGAGAGGGCCTTGCTCTGTGCTTGCATTTGATAAGAGGGATGGGGTCAGCTCATTTAGGTTACTGTTTGGTTAGAAGCACGTGTTGTGATGAGCACTGGGTGTTATAGGCAACTAATGAATCATTGAACACTACATCAAAAACTAATAATGTACTATATGCTGGCTAACTGAACATAAAAAAAAGAAAGAAAGAAAGAAACCAGCTGATGGCCAGAAGGGAGAGTAGAGAAAAAGAATGAGAGGTGGAGGTGGGCTTATGAGCAGGGGCAGGCTCAATGCTGGAGCCAGACCCAGAGACTGAGGCTGTGTGTAAGTGGTAGCTACAATGAGACCAGAACCTGGGAGACCACTTAACCAGCCACTTCCTGGGCAGTGTGTGAGCTGTGCAAGGCCAGCCAGTTGTGTGTCTCCCTTTACACTCTGCTTTCCCAGGACGTGTAACGTAAATATAGGAAGAGTTAAAGGCCAAATGATAGGAACTGGAAGTGGACAATGGAACTGGCTGAAGCAGCCAAGAAGTTGGGTTAATCAAAGAGGGACTCCTAGCACTGAGAAATGTAGAGGAAGTGGAGGCAGGCCAATCAGAGGCAGTTTCCGGAGGTTCTCAGCTGGGCTGTGGTGGTGTGGTGGAGAGATAGTAGGGGAATTCATCAGTTCTTTCCAGAGGGTTAGATAATGTAAACATTACCTGAGAGTCAGTACTTATCAAGAGACAATTTTGAATGGATAAAGAAGATGTGGTATATATATGAATGGAATATTATGCAGCCATCAAAAGGAATGAGATCTTGCCATTTGCAACGACGTGGATGGAACTGGAGGGTATTATGTTGAGTGAAATAAGTCAAACAGAGAAAGACATGTATCATATGATCTCACTGATATGAGGAATTCTTAATCGCAGGAAACAAACTGAGTGTTGTTGGAGTGGGGGGTGGGGTGGGAGGGATGGGGTGACTGGGTGATAGACACTGGGGAGGGTATGTGCTCTGGTAAGCGCTGTGAATTGTGCAAGACTGTTGAATCTCAGATCTGTACCTCTGAAACAAATAATGCAATATATGTTAAGAAAAAAAGAAGAAGAAGAAGGTAGCGGGAGGGGAAGAATGAAGCGGGGAAATCGGGGGGGTGGACGAACCATGAGAGACGATGGACTCTGAAAAACAAACTGAGGGTTCTAGAGGGGAGGAGGGTGGGAGGATGGGTTAGCCTGGTGGTGGGTATTGAGGAGGGCACATTCTGCATGGAGCACTGGGTGTTACGCACAAACAATGAATCATGGAACACTTCATCTAGAACTAATGATGTAATGTATGGGGATTAACATAAGAATAAAAAAAAAGAGAGACAATTTTATTGCAAATGAAGGGGAACAAACAGTTTGGCATTGCTTCTAATACTAAAAATTGACTTTAAGTTCCAGACTTACTACTTAAGAGCTTGATGGCCCTAGGAAACTGAATCCTTCTGAGTCTCAATTTCTCCTTCCGTATGTGGGGCCCATACCTACTGGGCCAAGTAGGGTTGCATATTACTGGGGAGAAAAGTAGAGGAGCAGACAAATGATGGATGAAACAATGGAGAGATTTATATTCCTATGGATAAGAAGCCCAGCAGTAGGTAGTCTAGGTTCTAAAGCTACTCACACATGTCTCCAAGAAAACAGGCTTCTTTTTGTATTCATTCTCCACCATCTTTGTTTATTATTTCTACCCTCCTTGTTGCAAAATGGCTACTCCATCTTTAGGCAGTGTCCATTTTCCGTGGAGGGGGATGGGAAGGGGAAGAACATTAGAGTTTTTTGTTTGTTTGTTTGTTTGTTTGTTAAATCTTTGCCTTTTTATTAGAGAAAAGGAATCTCTTCCCTGGGACATCTGCCTATATCTCAAGGGACAGAACTGGGTCACATGGCTAAGTCTAGCTGCAAAAGAGTGTCAGAAGATGAGTTTTTATGTGTGTGTGTGTTGTTTGTTTTAAACTGGGCACATTGCTATCATGAAAATAAAACCAGGGTTCTGCCAATAAAAAGGATGAGAGGAATTTATATGAGTAGGCAACTATCCATCTTTCTAACTACCTCACAAGATGGTTGTGAGGATTAACTGCCATGTTATGCTCTCAACAGAGTGCCCAGCACATGGAAAGACCCTCAATAACTCTCTTCTTTCACTTTGTGGGAGACACATTGACTATGGCCTATCTGAAGCTGGAAAATGCTCTTTTCAAGTAGATGTTTTGGAAGCTGCATTGAGATCCAGTAGCTTCACTCTGTAGAATCCCAATAGCCAGGGTGTTCTACCCTTATACTTACAGTGCTCTAAAGTATAGCCCAACACTTTAAAAGCATGAACTCTAGGCTCAGGTGCATCTAAAATTGAGTGATTTCGTTAGTCACATCTTTCTTCCAGATTCTTTTCTCCACCAAATTTGAGCCTTCAGAGGCAAGGGCTGAGTCATTGGTCTTCAAACTCTACCATCTGGCAGTGTTTGCTTTGTTTATTGAATTGAATTGACACCTTTCCAAGAAGCTATTCATCACTGTATAAGGAATTACTAGTTGAGAATCTCACTGTCTATAGCAAATACTAAGGATTTTCACATCTTATTTTTTCTTTCTCTTTCTCTCTCTTTCCATCTCCCTGTTTCCCCCCTCAAAATGTATCATTTCAGCCAACTGAAATGGTTATAGACCAAATCAAAGTTTTTCAGAAAATTCCTATTTACGCCATCTCCTTCAATTATAATGATGAGATTGCAAATGGATTTTTGAACGAGCTTGCTTCTTTGACTGGGGGAGAGTTCCATTTTTATAATTTTGGCTGTAAGGATCTGTGTCCTCCAGGGACTGTTCAGGTAAGAGCTTAATGAATTGAGAAGAGAGTGTTCATTTATTTGAGCATTACAGACTGGAGGCCAGTGGACAATACCGTAGTTGAGAAAATTGCCATAAAGACAATTAAGTTGAGCAAATAAAATCACCTAAGCATGTACTGCAAAATGTGGACCAAGGACCATCTGAACTAAGGCATTTATGAAAATGCAGATTCCTGGGTCACACTTCAGAGCTGCTAAATTAGGCTCTAGGCATAGAGGCCCAGGAATCTTAATTAATATATTTTGTTTTTCTTCTAAGGTTTTATTATGGAAAGTTTCAAACATACACAAAAGTAAAAGAGTATGTGGACCCCCATCCCATGTACCCATCAGTCAGATTCAATAATTATCAACATTTTGCCAAATTTAGGAATCTGTATTTTTAACAAGCATCCCAGAGGGTCCCTACTTGGAGTTTGTTAACCACTGCTGTTTACAGGCATTTGTGGGAAACTTAAGAAAAATTCAGATCCTAGGCAGTTGTCTCCTGACTTCTCACACTGTATAACCACGGGACCATCTGATAAAGCATTTTATTCTAATGAACTGATGGGAGAAGGTAAATAAAATTCTATTCTCCTGTCCTCTAATTTTGGCCTGAGGATATGCATTTCAAGATTGCCATTCTAGAGAATGTTTTTTATCTTACTGTCTGCCCTGTGGAGTCACTTTAAATACAGGACTAGCCAGAGTACCAATCAGTGCTTACATTTGAAGAAACCTACCAGAGTCTGGGGAATGAATCTTCTGAAAGGGTTGGAGGGAACAATGACTTCTCTGAGCCTACACAGGGAAGGGAATAGTGACCACCCCCATCAGCTAGACTGGAAAACCTCCTAATCCAGTAGGCATTAGGTAGAGTATAAAGAAGGGTCTTGCCTCAAGAATATGAACAAGCAAATGCTGCTCCAGTTCTGCATAGAAAATATTAAATGCAAGACCCGAAAGGATCAGTCTATTTCCAAGGAACCTAATTGTGTCCCCGAACAAACCCCAAGAATAATTATAAGAAAGCAAAAATATCCATTACCCAAAAAAGTAAAATTGACAATTTCTGACATCCAATCAAAGAGTACCAGGTATGTACAGAAGCAGGAAAATACAGGTCCATAATGAGGAGAAAAAGCAGACAGAAAAATTAAAACATATGCATAGCTGACTCCGATGTTAGTATTAGAGCATTAAAACAGTTATTGTAGCTGTGTTTGATATGTTCAAAAAGAAAGAGACATGAAAGATACAAGAAAGACGAATAAAATTTTTAGAGATGATAACTACAATGTATGAGGTGAAAAATGCATGGAATGTGAGGAACAGCCGGTAAGACACTACAGAACAAAAAACTAGTAAACTGCAAGGCAGCAATAGAAACTATTCAAAATGTAAACAGAGAAGAAAGAGAAGTAAAACAATAAACAAGCAAGCAAAACCCCAGAAAATAGGGCATAAGTGAACCATGGAAAAATTCAAGTAACCTAATAAATGTATAATTGAAACAATAATGCCAGAAATTTTCCGAATTGGTTAGAAACTATAAACCCACAGATCCAAGAAACACAATGAATGCCAAGCACAAAAAACATGAAGAAAATCACACCAAGTCATATCAGAATTAAACTTCTCAGAAGTAATGACAAAGAGAAAATCTTAAATGGATAGGGTGAAAGAAGACAAATATGTACAGAGGAACACAGATAAGGACAATAGCATATTTCTCATCAGAAGCAATGCACATGAAAAGACAGTGGAGTGATATTTTTAAAGTAGTGGAAAAAAAAAAAAAGCTAGTGTAGAATCTATACCCCGAAAATATCTTTCAAAAAGGAAAGTGGAATGAAGACCAAAGATACACAAAAACTGAAAGAATTCATCTCCAATAAACCTGCCATATAAGAAATATTAAAGGGAATACTTGAGGCAGAAGAAAAATCATACCAGAATGGAAATACAGATCTACACTAAGGAATGAAAAGCAAAGGACAACTTCATTGTAGCTGCATGGTAATTGCATGGGTAGATATGTAAGGCTTTTTTTCCCTTGTTACTTAGATCTAATTATAAGTTAAATTACTTGAGGGACTTCCAGTTCCAGCAATAATGGTGTAGTCCCATTCCTCCTAGGTCCTACATCTTAACCTAAAAAAGACCTGGATAGAACAGAACAAATAAGCATAGGAATACTCTGAAAGGTGAAAAGAAGAAGGTAGAATTCCTGGGGACCTCAGAATTTAAGGAATGATATGGCAATAAGTCTTGGGGGATTTGTTAATGCCTTCCATACATCCCAGATAGGGCACTGCTGAATCCTCTAACCTGGAATCTCTAACAGGCACAGACCAAAAAAAAAAGAAAAAGAAAAAGAAAAGACCCAAGAAAAGCTTATTCTCCCTAACCAAAGGACTGGGAAGAAAGTGACCTAACAACAGAAAACCTTTTTTATGATAATCACCTGCCATAATCCAGCCATACAACAGTGGAAAAACTGCACCCCTTTCCCTGAGATTTGAGTGGAGCTGAACAGAGAGCTGATCTTCCATACTACCATGGAAGCAGGAGATGGTGCTCTGATCCCTCTGCCAGGTGGGTCAGCAGAACTGACCAGAGAGCTAATCTTCCATCCCTTACTGCCAGAGTAGTGTGAGTAGGGCTGAATGGAAAGTTGATTTTCCAAACCCCACTAGACAGAGTAGGTGGTGCTCTAAATCCCATGCTAGGATAGTATCAGAGGATTGAGAGGGAAGCTTATTGTCCATTCCCTCTCCAGTGGAAGTCAGCAGTGCTCTGATTCTCCCACCATGGAGTCCAGTGGCAAACTGGACCTCTACCCCACCAGGCAGCTCTAAGACTTAACAAGGCAATGTGAGGTTGGTCTGGTCACTGCTGTGCTTCACCACAGCCCTCATCTCAGCAGGACTCAGCAAGGAGATGAACTTTCACAAACACTCAGCATCAGTGAAAATGCAAAAGGAAGTGCGAGTTAAAGATAGACAACGCTCCACTTTCCCCCATCCCTGGTACCAGTGAGGGTTGATGTGGAGCTGAGCCTCCATTAACACCAAACAGAATAAAAATAAATGAAGTGTGAAAGGGGAGTAACCCCCACTGTGGTCCTCTCTGGGTGGAGAGCTGATCCTCCACCCCCATCCAGCATCAACAAGACCAAAGGAGGCAGTGCTATCTGGGGTTACTCAGTACTCTGACTCCCTACCCTTAGGATCTCTCTCTGTGAACAAAGTAGAGATTACTGGCCCATGTAAAGAGAACGAATTCCTAATTCCTGAACTCCTGACACTGTGGCAGCTTGCCTTGATGAAAATAACTGGAAAAAAAAAATCACCAGATACACAGTTGTGCTCAAGTGAAAGTGAAATTTAGCTATGAGAGTCCCCAAACATATAAAAAGTGTGCTAGAAAAACAGGTTCACTGGGGTAGGTGGGCAGGACTAGCCAAAAAGACACAGCCACAAGTGGCCTAGTCTGGGAAGCCTCCTTTTCCCTACAGACCTGAGACTCTTCTCTGCACAGAGACAGAGTGTGTGGGAAGAACAGGCAAGAAGGACCCAGGCAGAGCAAGTGGTCCATTCCAGGAAAGCTCTCTTCCTGCAAGACAGGGGCCCTCCTATGCCACCCAGTGACACAGGACACCCAGGGGACAGCAGTAGAGGCACCAAGAAACACCTGGCAGTTTGACTAGGGGAAACTCCTTCTGCCTGCTCAAACAGCACCAGCAGAGACCAGTGGGAGTCCCAGCAACACCAGAGTAATAAAGAAGACCAAAGTAATATCAAAAAGGCTCTGAAAATTAAACTGCCATTGGAGCAAGAGCCCACAAAAGTAGGACAAAGTCTCACATGCTAAATTTAAACAGGGTTACTGCAAGCTAAAATAAAAGTTTTAAAATAGGACCCAGAGTCTCATAACACAATATAGCCATAATGTTCAGGATACAGTAAAAAATCACTCATCATACCAAGAACCAATAAAATCACAACTTGAACGAGAAAAGACCATCACATGATCCCAACACTGAGACAGATGAATTAGATGTTGGAATTACCTGACCAAGATTTTAAAGAACCTATCATAAAAATGCTTCAACAATCAATTACAAGTTATCTGGAGACAAATGAGCAAATAGAAAATCTCAGCAAAGGTGTAGAAGTTATAAAAATTTCCAAGTGGATGTTATAGAACTGAAAGCTATAATAACAAGTAAACTCACTGCATAGGCTCAATGGTGAGAGTGGAGATGACTTGATTTTATCAGTGAATTTGAGGTCAGACAATAGAATTCAGCCAATCTGAACAATGGAGAGAACATAGACTGAAAAACAAAAAACAAAAAACAAAAAAACAGAACCATGGGAACCTACAGGACAATAATTAAAGATCCAGCATTAGTATCATTGGAGTTACCCAGAGAGAAGAAAGAAAGGGGGGCTTAAAGACTACATGGAAGAATAACTGAAAACTCCTAAATTTGGTGAAAGATAAAAACATACAGATTGAAGAAGCTGAGTAAACTCCAAAGAGGATAAACCCAAAGAAATCCAAGACACATGCCAAGACCCATGCCAAGACACACCATGTTAAACATTTGAAAATCAAAGACAAAGTCTTAAAAACAGCCCAAAAGAAATGACATCAAATTGAGAGTGGATTTGACCAAGGAGGCCAGAAAAGAAGTGGCACAATATTTTTCAAGTGTGGGAAGAAAAGAACCATCGGCCACAAATTTATATTAGACAAAAATATCCTTTGGGAATGAAGAGGAAATAAAAATATTCTCAGACAAATAAAAATTAAAAGGATTTGTTGCTAGAAGCCCTACTCTTATATTGACTACAGGAAGTTCTTCAGGCAAAAGGAAATGATTAAATAAGAAATCTTGGAGCATCATGAAGGAAGGGAGAAAGAGCAAAAATATGAGTAGATGTAATAGAGTGTCCTTTTCCTCATGAAATCATATTCAATGATTGAAATAAAAATTATACCACTCTCTGATATTCAAGACAGTGATATTTAAAAGTAAAGAAGGTAAAGGGACCTAAGTGGAAGTGAGGTTTCCATATTTCCCTTGAAGTAGTAAAATGTTAATGCTAGTAGACTGTTGTAAGTCTCATACATATGCTGTCCATACCTAGAGAAGCCATTATGAAAACAATATAAAGAGATATACTCAAAAATATTACAAATAAACCAAGATAGAATTATTTAAAAAAAATTCAAGTAACCTGAAGGAAGGCAGGCAAAGAGAAACAGAGGAACAAGACCAATGAAACAAGTAGAAGACAAATAATAAAATAGTAAGTATTAACATGTCAATAATTACTTTAAATGTAAATGGTCTAATTACCCCAATCAAAAGACAGATATTGGCAGAGTGGATAAAAGAACATGACTGAATTATATGCTGCATACAAGAAACTCACATCGAGCACAATAACATAGGTAGGCTCAAAAGGAGAAAGACACACCAATAGAAATCTAGATTGGCTGTATTAATAACTAATAAAGTAAATATCATAGCAAATAAAATTTACATAATAAGATCAGTCTGCGAGGAATATATAAAGGCCCTAAATGTGTGTGCACAAACCAATACAGTTTAAAAAAAATATATGAAGCAAAAATTGATAGAGCTGAAAGGAGAAATAGACAAATACAAAATTATACTTGGAGACCTCAACACTTCTCTCCCAGCAACTGACAGAAACTACTAGAAGCAAAATCAGCAAGGACAGAGAAGATCTAAACAGCACAGTCAGCCAACAAGATCTAATTGCCACAGATAAAATACTCCCCACCACAACAGCTGAATACAAATTTTTTTCTAGTGCTCATGGTATACTTATTAAGATAGGCTGTGCAATGGGTGATAAAACAGACCTCAGCTAATTTAAAAGCATTGACTACAATAGTTGAATTATGGAAATAGCCTAAATGTCCATCAACTGATGAATGGATAAAGAAGATGTGGTATATATGTACAAAGGAATATAACTCAGCCATAAAAAAGAATTAAATCCTGCCATTTGCAGTGACATGGATGGAGCTAAAGAGTATTATGCTAAGTGAAATAAGTCAGTGAGAGAAAGACAAATACCATATGATTTCACTCATATGTGGAGTTTAAGAAAGAGAACAAATGAACAAAGGGGAAAAAAGGAGAGGTAGGCAAACCAAGAAACAGACTCTTAACTATAGAGAACAAACCAGTGGTTACCAGAGGGAAGGTGGGTGAAAGAGGGGATGGGGATTAAGGAGTGCACGTGTTGTGATGAGCACCAGCTGATGTATGGAAGTGCTGAATCACTATATTGTACACCTGAAACTAATATGGCACTATATGTTAACTAATTGGAATTCAGATAAAAACAAAAAAATAAAAGCATTGAAATCATGGAGTTTGTTCTCTCACCATAATGGAATCAAATGAGAAATTAGTATTAGAAAGACAGCATGAGGGGCGCCTGGGTGGCTCAGTTGGTTAAGCAACTGCCTTTGGCTCAGGTCATGATCCTGGAGTCCCGGGATCGAGTCCCGCATCGGGCTCCCTGCTCGGCAGGGAGTCTGCTTCTCCCTCTGACCCTCCTCCCTCTCATGCTCTCTGTCTCAAATAAATAAATAAAATCTTTAAATAAAAAAAAAAAAGACAGCATGAAAATGTCTAAACACGTGGAATTTAAACAACACAGTCCTTGATAATCCATAGGTCAAAGAGAAAGTCTCAAAGGAAATTAAAAATACTTAGAACCAAATGAAAACAAAAACACCATATATCAAACTAGTGGGATACAGCTAACACAGTGTTGGGAGTGAAATTTATAGCACTAAATGCTTAATGTTGAGAACAAGAAAAGTTATTGAATCAACAATCTGAGTTCTTACCCCAAGAAACTAGAACAAGAAGGGCAAAATAAACCCAAAGCAAGCAGAAGGAAGGAAACAATACAGATAAGAGTATGAATCAATATAATTGAAAATAGGAAAACAATAGAGAAAATCAATGAGACGAAAAGCTGTTTCTTTGAAAAAAAGACTTACGAATTGATAACACATCTTGGAAGGCTGACAAAGACAAAAAGGGCAGATACAAAGAACTAATATCAGGAATGAAATAGGGGATATCATATTAGATCTTACAGCCATCAAAAAGAATATAAAAGGAATACAATGAACAACTTTGCACTCATAAATTTGACAACTTAGGAAAAAATGAGCCACTTCCACACAAAACAAAAACTACCACAAATCAACCAAGATAGAATGCACAATGTGAATGACATTAAAATAAATATTTTTTCAAGAGAAGTGAAAGCAGATGTCCCTAAGACTTGTACACATATGTTCATAGCTTTGTTTATAATAGCTCAAGCGTGTCCCTCAACAGGTGGCTAAGTTTTGGTATGCAGTATACAATCTAATGCTACTCAGCAATAAAGATGAATGAACTCTTGATTCATGCTGCAACATGGGTGAATCTCAAAATAATTATATGAGTGAAGGAAACTGGACAAAGAATACATACTGTATGATTCCATTTATATAAAATTCGAGAAAATCGAAACTAATGTATAGTGACAGAAGGAAGATAAGTAGTTGCTTAGGAATGGGAGGAGAGGGGTTTTGGGGTAGGGAGGATAGCAAATTTACAAGGGCACCTGAGGAGACTTTTGGGGGTGACAGATATGTCTGTTATCTTGATTGCAATGAAGATTTTACAGGTGTGAATGTCAAAACTATTCAAATGGTACACTTTACCTGCATTCGGTTTATTGTGTATGAATTATACTTCAATAAAGCTGTTTATTAAAATGGAATAATATGAGAACTACATGAAATTCTTTAGATTCTTCTTTTCCTGATACAGTTGGTTTTCTGTTATAAATGTTTGAAATATGAACTCTTTTATACAATTTCACAATATATTTACTTGTCATTTTGGCAGAATGAAGATCTGACTCTTTTAATTAAGGAAATGGAGCAGGGACGAAGTGACCTGGAGAAGGTGCAAGACCTTTATTCAGAGTCCTTGATCATGGATTGGTGGTACAATGGAGAAAAGGAAGGGGACAATAAGTAAGCATGCCAAAGCCCCTGTTTTCCCCATCACTGGGGAAATTATCTGCTCAGATGCTCTGCTCGCTCTCCTTGACTCCTCTTCTTTCTGCGGTACTTTTGGGATTTCTCTTAGTGAAAAGAATCACATAGAATGATTATGTTAGAATTTTTTTAAGGAAGAAGTCATAATCTAATAATTTAATTATCTAATATATGGCTTAAGGAGGCCACATATTTACCTTTAAATGTAAGTTCTGAAATCCTTGTGTGGCACTTAGAGCAGTGTTAACGGTTCATCTCCACCCAGTATGGATCGGCTCCCCAACCCCAGCCATGATAGAGCACAGCAGGAGTGCTGTGTAGTGCAGGAGATTTGACTCAGGGATCAGGAGGCCCAAGGGTCTGGACTTCGCTCTGTGTGATCTTGGCGAATCCCTGACTTCTCTCCACACCTGTCCATTGCTGTGAGTCTCGGTTTCCTCTTCTTTAAAATGGTGCCTGTGGTGGTAGGATTTGGGATGGATAATTTCTCGGGTCCTTTTCTACCCTATATTCTAATATGTCTCTAATTAGTAATTTTAAAACAAAACTCAGAACCACTCCAACACTCAGAAAGGGTGTCAAATCTTATTAAAACAATTTAACATTGTACAGATATTCAAATATCACAGCTTCATATGAATACTCTATCAGGAGGATGTCTTTTTATTTAAAAGAGCGATAGCTAGTGGAAAGAAGTTAAAAATACATTTATCAATCAGGATTTCATCTTCATCAAAATTCACTATCTTCCTGTTAGCAAATTAAGCATTAATATGGGCGGGGAGCAGGACATGAGCAATGGAATCAGTAAAAAGAGTTAAATGCTATACTGGGCCATCTTAAAATAAGGTTTTACAGCATTATTTTTAAAGTATTGGAAAAGCTCAGATACATCTAAATTCAGAGAATTTGAACAAATAAACTAAAAGTCAAATAAATGGGTAGCATCTCAGTGTAAATTACCCTTTGTGCCTTAACTGTATTCTTACCCTGTTTAATCAAACTAAAAATCTCAGGACAAAATGACTAGCTATTGTTTGGAAGTTGGCTTAGTCAGTTCACTGTATCTGCCATTGATTGAGTAGTTGGTGCATTCTTTTTTATATTTTTTATATATTTTTTTTAGGGGCTGGATAGGGCAGGTTCTGGAAGTCATTCAAAAAAGTGTTTTAATCCAGGCTTCCCACCATTACATATTGGGTAAATTTGGGCAAGTTACTTAACCTCGTGGAGCTTCAGTTTCCTTATCTACAACATGGGAATAATGGTAGTCATAGGGTTGTTGGGGAGATTAAATGAGGATATGCCTGTCATATAATAAGAGGTCCTAAATTAACATAAGGGAAAGAATAAAACTCAGTGCCTCATTCTACAGGTAGCATGCTTCTCTCCTTCCTTAGAACATTAGGAAAAGTTAATTCACTGACTTAGCTACAGTCAAAACCAAATTGCTTTGTTCTAGCTTTCTACCAGGTGTAAAAATGTTTCAGCCTCCAAATCTCCTTTCCTTTCCTTCTTTTTTCAAACGTTTGTGGAGTACAGACCATGTGCCAGGCGAACTGGGATGCACAGATGAATATAAACCCAGTCCCTTCCATCACAAGATGCACAGTGTGGTGGGGGATACAGACATACATGATTATGGAACACTGGGGGTGGTCTATGAAGTAGGCATTCAGGTGGAGGGTGAAGGAGGGAGGCCATGCTTTACAGTGTTGGAGCAGGAGATTGTTCTGGAAACTTTCCTTTCTGTAGCTGCTACGTTCAGAGCTTCAGAAAAGATGTGTATGGGAAAATTATCAGGCATTTCTAGGGTCCCTCCTGGCCCTAGATCTTCACCAGAGTGGTTTCCTGTGATCTGGTACTGGCACAGGGGGTCCAAGGCAAGGATTTCCCTTTGCTGGCTTTTATAAGAGCTAGCTATTTAACACTTTGGTTAGAGAAAGGGGTTTCCGTAAGCCTTTCTGGTTTACAACTGGCTCTCCCTCCTGTTAATTCCTACATCAGTCCCATAGAGTCAGTGAACACCTGAATTTCCCGAAGTTTATAGAGGAGGTAAATGATGAAGTTCAGAGAGGGCTGAAGGACCTCACCAAGTCCCACAGCCAGGAAGGAACAGAGCTGTGATGTGAGCCATATCTAATGACTCCACATCTGGGCCCCTGTTCACTCTTCTGCTTTGGGTGGGGAAAAAGATTCTTCCTTTTTTTTTTTTTTTTAAGATTTTATTTATTCATGAGAGAGAGAGAGAGAGAGGCAGAGGGAGAAGCAGGCTCCCCAAAGAGCAGGGAGCCTGATGCGGGACTCAATCTCAGGACCCTGGGATCATGAACTAAGCTGAAGGCTGACGCTTAACCATCTGAGCCACCCAGGTGCCCTGGAAAAAGATCATTCCTAAATTAACCAAATGAGGGGAGGCTTCCTCCTTTAGTTTGTAGCATTCAACATGATTTTATTGATCTAACTCTGCCTTTTTGATGGAAATTTTGTGTTTTCCCCCTCCTTTTATTCTTTTTTTTTTGTCTATTTTTTTTGTCTAAAAACAGGCATCAAAAAGAAATCAGTTCTATGGTTTCAACCCCAGAAAAATATGCAAAACCTCATTCTGATGTCGAGTCAACACCAATGTCATCCCTAAATATGTTGTACTTACCAGAGGATCTTTCAAATCAAAAGATTCAGAAAAAGAAAGTCCTTCACGCAGGTAGGTATCAGTGAACAACATGGTTTGATTCTCATTACTGGTTTTCCTTCAATGTAATAAGGTAGAATAAAACTAAATCCACATAATATTTTAAAAGGAACCTAAACTTCTGGGGTTTTTGGTTTTGTTTTTGCTTTATTGACATATAATCAACAAGAACATTACATTGGTTTTAGTAGTATAACGTAATGACTTGATATTTGTATATATTGACACATGATCACCACAGTAAGTCTAGTTATCATCTGTCACCACACATAGTTACAAAAACATTTTTTTCTTATGATGAAGACTTTTAAGATCTATGCTCTTAGCAATTTTCAAACATGCAATAAAGTATTAACTAGTCATCATGCTGTACATTACATCCCCATGACTTTATTTATTTTATAACTGGAGGTTTGTATCTTTAGACTCCTATTACCCATTTTGCCCACTTCCCCATCCCCCACCTCTGACAACAGTCAGTCTGCTCTTTGTATCTATGAGCTTGGTTTGTTTTTTGGTTTTTGTTTTTTTGTGGGTTTTTGTTTTTAGATTCCACATATAAGTGAGATCATTTAGTATTTGACTTTCTCTGTCTGACTTATTTCACTTAGCATAATGCGCTCACAGTCCATCCATCCATGTTGTGACAAATGGCAAGATCTCTTTCTTTTTATGGCTGAATCATATTCGTGTGACCACGCGCACGTGTGTGTATAATGTTTATATATTACATCTTTATCCATTCACCCATTGATGGACACTTAGGTTGCTTCCATATCTTCGCTATTGTACATAATGCTGCAGTGAGCATGGGGGTGCATATATCTTTTTGAGTTAGTGTTTTTGTTTTCCTTTTTTTTTTTTTTTAATATTTTATTTATTTTTTTTGACAGAGAGAGACACAGTGGGAGAAGGAACACAAGCAGGGGGATGGGAGAGGGAGAAGCAGGCTTCCCGCAGAGTAGGGAGCCTGATGCGGGGCTCAATGCCAGGACCCTGGGATCACGACCTGAGCCGAAGGCAGATGCTTAACGACTGAGCCACCCAGGCTCAGTGTTTTTTTTTCCTTTGGCTAAATATCCAGAAGTAAAATTGCTGAATCATATGGTCATTCTAATATTTTGAGGAACCGCTATACTATTTTCCATAGTGCCTGCACCAATTTACATTCCCACCAGCAGTGCACAAGGGTTCCCTTTTCTCCACATCTTCACCAATATTTGTTGTCTTTTGATTCTAGCCATTCTAGAAGTGAAGTGATGTCTTTTTGTGGTTTTGATTTGCATTTCCCTGATGATTAGTGATGTTGAGCATCTTTTCATGTGTCTGTTGGCCATCTGTATGTCTTCTTTGGCAAAATGTCTATTCAGGTTCTCTACTCATTTATTAATTGAATTATTTGGCATTTTTTGGTGTTGAGTTATATGAGTTCTTCATATTTTTTTACTAACCCCTTATCAAATAAATCATTTGAAAATATCTTCTCCTATTCAGTAGATTACCTTTTCATTTTGTTCATGGTTTCCTTCCTTGTGCAGAGTTTTTTATTTTGATGTAGTCCCAATAGTTTAATTTTGCTTTTGTTTCCCTTGCCAGAGGAGATATATCAAAAAAAAAAAAGGTCTCTGTGGCTGATGTCAAAGAAATTACTGCCTGTGTTTTCTTCCAGGAATTTTATGGCTTCAGGTCTCACGTTTAGGTCTGTAATCCATTTTTTGAGTTTATGTCTGTGTATGGTGTGAGAAAGTTGACCAGTTTCATTCTCTTGCATGTAGCTCTCCAGTTATCCTGGCATCATTTGTCAAAGAGACTTTTTCCCACTCTCTATTCTTGCCTCCTGTGTCATAGATTAATTGACCATAAAAGTGTGGGTTTTCTCTGGACTCTATTCTGTTCCATTGATTTGGTGTCTGTTTTTGTGCCAGTAGCATACTTTTATGTATAGCCTTGTAGTATGTCTTGAAATTTGGGATTGTGATACCTCCAGCTTTGTTTTTCTTTTTCAAGATTGCTTTGGCTATTTAGGGCCTTTAGTGGTTCATTATAAATGCCAGTATTATTTTTTCTCTGAGAAAAATATTGTTGGTATTTTGATAGGGATTACATTAAATCTGTGAATTGCTTTGGGTAGTATGGACACTTTAACAATATTTATTCTTCCAATCCGTGAGCAGGGACTATTTTACCATTTGTGTCATCTTCAATTTCTTTTTATCCGTGTTTTATAGTTTTCAGAGTACAGGTCTTTCACTTTCTTGATGATAAGTTTATTCTTAGGTATTTTATTCTTTTTGGTGTAGGTGTAAATGGGATTGTTTTCTTAATTTCTCTTTTGGCTACTTCATTATCAGTGTATTGAAATGCAAGAAATTTCTCTATATTAATTTTGTATCCTGCAACTTTACTGAATTCACTTATCAGTTCTAGTAGTTTTTTGGTGGAGTTCTTTGGGTTTTCTATGTATAGTATCATGTCATCTGCAAATAGTGAACGTTTCACATCTTTACCAATTTGAATGCCTTTTATTTCTTTATCTTATCTAATTGCTGTGGCTAGGACTTCCAGTACTACGTTGAATAAAAGTGGTGAGATTGGACATCCTTGTCCTGTTCCTGATCTTAGAGGAAAAGTTCTTAATTTTTCACCATTGAGTATGGTGTTAGCTGTGGTTTTTTCATATATGGCTTTTATTATGTTGAGGTATGTTCCCTCTAACCCTACTTTGTTGAGAGTTTTTATCATGAATGGAGTATTTATCATTTGTGCTTTGTCAAATGTTTTTTCTGCATCTATTGAGATGATTCATATGGTTTTTATCCTTTCTCTTGTTAATGTGATGTATCACATTGATTTGTGAATATTGAAACACCTTGCATCCTGGGAATAAATCTTGCTTGATTGTGGTGAACGATTTTTTTTAATGTTTTGTTTAATTCTGTTTGCTAATATTTTGTTGAGGGTTTTTGCATCTATGTTCATCAGAGATATTAACCTGTAGTTTTCTTTTTTTGTAGTGTCTTTATCCAGTTTTGGTATCAGAGTAATGCTGGCCTTGTAGAATGAATTTGGAAGCTTTCCTTCCTCTTCTGTTTTTTGGAATGGTTTGAATAGGTATAACTTCTCTTTAAATATTTGGTAGAATTCACCTATAAGCCATCTATCTGGTCTGGAACTTTTATTTGTTGGGAGTTTTTGATTACTGATTCAGTTTCATTGATAGTAATTTATCTGTTCAAATTTTCTATTTCTTCCTGATTCAGTTTTGGAAGGTGATATGTTTCTGGAAATGTATCCATTTCTTCTAGGTTGTCCAATTTGTTGGCATGTAATTTTTTATAATATTCTCTTATAGTTCTTTGTATTTTTGAGGTGTTGGTTGTTATTTCTTTTCCTTCAGTTTCTGCTTTTATTTATTTGAGTTCTCTTCCATTTTTTTTATGAGTTTAGCTAAAGGTTTATCAATTCTGTTGATCTTTTCAAAGAACCAGCTCCGGGTTTTATATTGATCTATTCTATTTTTGGTTTGTATTTCATTTATTTGTGCTCTAATCTTTATTATTTCCTTCCTTCTACTGGCTTTGGCTTTGTTTGTTCTCCTCTTTCTAGCTCCTTTAGTCATATAGTTAGGTTGGGTTGTTGTGTGTTTTTTGTTTTGTTTTGTATAAAGTGTAAGTTGTACATTTTTTTTTGTATAAAGCATGAGTTTTACATTAAGATTTTTTTGTCCTATAGACGTTGCTCCAGCACCATTTGTTGAAAAGGCTATACTTACACTTACTCCATTGAATTAATTTTGTATCTTTGCCAAAATTCAACTGGGTATATCTGTGTGGGTTAAATCTGGGTTTTATACTTCTGTTCCATTGATCTTTGTATCTGTCTCTCCACCTATACCACAATATCTTGATTAATGTTCTACATGCCTTATTATCAAGTGCCATGATTCCTCCAACTTTATTTTTCTTTTGCAAAAATATTTTAGCTATTTTGGGGGGCCTGAAATTTTGTTTAAATTTTAGAATGTGGTTATTTATTTAAAGAAAACCTTGCTAGGATTTTGCCAGGAATTGCATTGAATCTATAGATTGATTTGGGGACAACTCACATCTTTATGATATTGATTCATCTAGTCTGTGAACACAACTCATGAATATGACCATATATTTAGGTCTTCTTTGATGTCTTACAGCAGCATTTTGTAATTTCCAGCTTAGAGATCCTGTACATGTTTTATTAAGTATATACAATTATTTCATTGTATTTGAAGTGATTGTAAATGGTATTTGTTTTCTAATATAGGTTTCCGTATGTTCATTAGCTCATTATGTTCATTAGTCTGTCAAAACGCAATTGATTTTGTGTGTTGATCCTGTAACTGGCAACTTTACCAAACTCAATAGTTCTAGGAATTTTGTGTGTGTGTGTTTGTGTGTGATATGTGCTTGTGGATTTCTTGCCATTTTCTGCATAGACAATATGTCATCTACAAATAGGGACAGTTTTATCTTCCTTTCCAATCTCTCTGGCTTTATTTCTTTTTCTTGCCTTGTTCCAGAAGTTAGAACTTCTAGGACTATATTGAATAAGAGTGATAAGAGTGGGCATTCTGGCCTTTTCCCCAGTCTTAGGGGAAAAGATATTCAGTCTTTTACTATTGTGAATGATATTAACTGTAGATATTCTTTATCTGTAGATATTCATTCTGTAGATATTCTTTATCAAGTTAAGGATGTTCCCCTCATTTTTAATTTTCTGAGAGTTTTTATCATGGATTGGTGCTGAATTTTATCAAATGCTTTTGCTGCATCAATTGATACATGATTTTTCTTCTTTAGTCTATTGATATGTGGATTACTGATTGATTTTCAAATGTTAATCAACCTTGTATGTCTGGAATATTTTCCACTTCCATATTTTCTCCATGTATAACTCTTTTAGTACCTCGCTGGATGTGGTTTGCTAATACTCCATTGTGGGTTTTTATATCTTCTAAGTACATGAAGGATATTGGT